TTAGAGTTCGACTGATGGTGCCGAAGAGTTTGCCCCAGATCTGTCGTGTCTCGTAGCGCTCAGAGGATGCTGTCGCGCAGGGCTTCAATGCAGGAGCCCTGCTTAGGGTTTAGGGTTTAGGGTTTAGGGCACTTTCTCGCTCTTCTGGGCCCCACTCAAATGTTGAAGCAATATCCGGGGGCATGACCCCTACATCAGCTTCGGCACTTAGTCACGCATATCTAAGCCTTATCTGCATTTAAACCCCTTCACGCTTGACCCCCATCTAAACCCTGAGTGCTAAACTCTCCGCCAAGAACACTAAACCCTCAACCCTGAACCCTAAACCCCAAACCCTAAACCCTAAATAGCCTGCTACCCTAACCCTAAATAGCCTGCTACCCTAAACCCTAAACCCTAAATGGCCTGCTACCCTAAACCCTAAACCCGAAACCCCAAATGGCCTGCTACCCTAAACCCTAAGCCCTAAACCCTAAATGGCCTGCTACCCTAAACCCTAAATAGCCTGCTACCCTAAACCCTAAATGGCCTGCTACCCTAAACCCTAAACCCTAAATAGGCTGCTACCCTAAACAATAAACCCTAAACCCGAAATGCTACCCTAAACCCTAAATTAGCCTGCTCTTGGCCTCTTGAGGCCCCAAGTCAAGCCGAGGGTCTGAGCATGGGCCAGCTCGATGTCCCTGATCACAGGGAGCAGAATTACAGTTGTGTGTGTGTGTACATATATATAAATAAATAAATATATAAATATATATGTATATTTTTTAATTGTATAATTATTTCATATTTCACTATATTCTATCCTATTCCATTCTATTATAAGTTTTTGGGGCTCAGGGTTTGGCGGTTAGGGCTCGGGGTTGCGAGTTGTGGCTTCAGGGCAACACTGAACCTGTTTGCACAAGAATCCCCGCCTTTGCTGCTGCAGCTGATACTGCCTGAGATAGCAAGCAAGGACTACCCCTTTGCACCCCGAGCTTCAGCTAAGGCAGCTAAGACACGAAAATACAGCTGATGATATGAATCCTGCATTACCTTAAGGACCCTAAACTATGGGAATTATGGTCTGTTCCTTATGGTGGGTAATGCAGGATTTATATCATCAACCGTACAACGTCTAGACTAGAAGGTGGTGTGCAAAAGATCAGACCAAGGTGCTGCCAATGCTGGCTTCGGTGCCTTAGGTGCTGCCGTCATTAAACCGCGCTCATGCTTGACTCCTAAACCCTAAACTTTCCCTAAACCAAGCTTGGTCTCTCTGGAAACAGCTGAGCCCCACACACTGCGCGGACCTGAGCGACTCGGTGACCGGGTGGGCTTGGTCCTACATTTTCCATCATGGTACAATCATGTCTGCAACTGCCGAAGTGCCCGGGTGCTCTTCTGATCCTCTCTGCCTCCGACTCCCCAAGACCCTAAACCCTGAACCCTGAACCCGAAACCCTAAGACCCCTAAAGCCCTGAACCCGAAACCCTTAAACCCCTAAAGCCCTGAACCCGAAACCTTAAACCCCTAAAGCCCTGAACCCGATACCCTAAAACCCCTAAAGCCCTGAACCCGAAACCCTAAAACCCCCAAACCCTGAACCCGAAACCCTAAAACCCCTAAAGCCCTGAACCCTGAAACCCTAAAACCCCTAAAGCCCTAAACCCGATGCCCTAAAACCCCTAAAGCCCTGAACC